CATCCTTGGCGATTCTCATGACTGCTGTTGCTTGCTGCTCTCCAGCAAGTCAGTTCGAAAACTTTGGTCCAAAACCAGAAAAAATAATTAGTGGTTACTCCCATCTGGGGAATGGACAGCCAGACTCAAATGGTATATGCTCTCTCCTTACTTTTGAATAGGTGGCTGTGTAAGACTGCAGGCACTCAACCAAGAAATAGCCGCCCAGCCCTTTGGATCAGCCTCAGTGGTGGGATTCAATTTTTTTACTACCGGTTCTGTGGGTGTGGCTTGGTGGGCCTGGCATGGCTTGGTGCGCCTGGCATGGCTTGGTGGGCGTGGCTTGTAGGTGTGGCAGGGGAAGGATACTGTAAACTCTCCATTCCCTCCCCACTCCTTGGGGAAGGTTACTGCAAAATCCCATTCCTTCCCCACCCCACTAACCTGCTTTCCAGCTCCGTTCTCCTATGCAGGGCAACAAAAGAAAACCCAGCCGATCAGCTGGGACTCGGAAGGCAGAGAATAGATGGGGGCAGGGCCAGTCAGAGGTGGTAGTTGCCGGTTCTCCAAACTACTCAAAATTTCTGCTACTGGTTCTCCAGAGCCATTATATAAAATAGGCAAGCCATAGAATTTCTATTTTTTGTAAGTCGCCTAAAATCACTGAAAGTGAGTGGGCAGTCATATAAATTCTCTAAATAAATAAAAATTAAACAGAAAGCCACTATCAAAGGATGCCCTCTGTCAAAAAGACTTCCTGAAAACTGGTCTTTTTTTCCTCATTGAAACATTCATATTAACATTCAAAACAGCAAACATATTGAACATCTTCTCTAAGTTCTAGCCACACATTATGGTACTACATTGTAACCTTCTTCTGAACACAAATGCAATCGAATCAGAACTGTTGTCTAGCTTTCTAAAGTGATTTTGAATGTTTTCTGTCTCATTCAAGGCTTAAGACTTCTTTCAATGTCATGGCATCTGGCCATCTTTTATTCCCTACAGCTTTTTGCCAGTTCTTGTCCTCTTCTTGATATAAGTGTGATACGAGTTGCAAACCTCCTAGTGAAACTCTTCCCTCAACCACACATACCAGCAATCTGGTTCAGTCAGGGAGATTTATGCAAGCACCCAAACCTTCAATAAAATGACAGCTTATTAGTTCACAACTAAAGCATGTTGGATTAATACCCAAATGCAGCCAGAATATACATGAATTGCCTTGCTTTTGATGTCTTATGAATATTTAGCCTTATCTCCATTTTGGTGCAGTTGGACACGTGTGCATGCAGTCTGAGTGAGGCCGCTTAGCAACCATTCAAAATTCTGATAAACCTACCGGGGGGTGGGGGGTACTTACCACTCAGATTCAAAGTTCCAGCCTTAGGACCTCCATAGGATCATGACTGAATTTCAGGTATGCAGTAACCAGGCCACATCTACAGCTGTTAACAGCTTCTTGCAGTCACACAATTGCGTTTTACAATAGTTTTGCCGAAAACCAACGTTTATTTCTGGTGCTTGGCAAAATCACACTCGTAGTGAACCATCGGTTCACTTAGCATTGACCACTGCAAAGGTCATCACATGACTGACCCCGTTTTACAACCATCGTGAGTTACAACCATGAGGGGACAGGCTCTGCTATGATCAAGGTCTACCTGTAAATACCTTTTAAAGACATAACTGGGACTGGAAGCAGGTTAAAGATGGTGGGTTATTCATTGGTAGCACCAAGTATCTGTAGAAATATTAGCAGGGCTACAAACTAATTTGCCTTTTTTTTCCTTTTCTTTTTGTTTCCTTTGAAGGATAATGGTGGAAAAATAGATATATCTGTTGATTACAACAGAAATTAATAAGCTTCACTGCACATCCCTTGCACTGATACGGGCTAGTTAACTTTGACCTCTTCTGGGTGTTCTTTAACTTTAACATGTTCTGTTTGTTTTCTAAGCTTAGCACAGATGCTGGGAAGAAGCTTCTTGGATGAGAAGTGAAACGTCTTCGAAGAAAAACCAGAAAGTCCAGTTGCCTCTTGAAAAAAGCACCTTTGGGATTCTGGGAAATGAGCAATTCAGAATGAGGGTAGCCAACTGAAGAAAAGTAAGCCAAAATATCAAACAAATAACACTATTGTCCTAAAAGATATGGAAGTCCCCATCACTTGTGTTCTGAAACTTGTTTTAAGCTGACACACAACACATAACACTTTAGTTCTGGAAAATTTCTAAGGACATCATGAATAGAATCTTCTGATGCCAGATCAGACAGTGTCCTACTTAGAGAAAGGCAATTTCTCATTTTAGGCTGGATGGACTGGGAACATCACTATTTCTATATCTTTGCCATGCCCCTAATTAAATGCTTCTGATACTGCTTTTAAAGAGGCCTTCTTTCATTCTCTACGTCTTGGCCGTTGGCCTATTCTTATTCTACCAGTATCTTGGCTAAGGTGATCATGCAGACAGTGATGTATTAACTCCATTTACTCCGGATGAAATGAATAAGATAAATCCATTTCACTTTGGTGTTCATGATGCAGACTGTTCCAATTGCCCCTGGAAGACAGATCTGTATTGAGGGACAAGAAGATCTGCTAGGCATTTTCTAATGGACAGCAGCTACGGTATCTTTACAGTATTGCTGGTCAGGAGCAATACGTTTTTCAGAAGCCCCTTTTCTGCCTTGTAGGAAAATGGTCCAGCAGGAAGTGATCCTGGAAAGCTACTGGCCTTCCCAATTATACCTCAGGCCTCTCCCTCCTCCTTTTGCATTTGTGCAATATGTTTTGAGAAAAAATCATTAAGAGGAGTAGAAAGATGGACCCATTTAAATGTCATTACAGTGTTTTTCCTCTTCCAATACATCAGGCATGAGAGCATCACTCATCAGAGGCTGCTTCTAAATCAGATGAGTGACAATCTGAAGTAGTGTCATTTTGTGTTTAATACACAGATAAGAGAGATGCACAGACAGTATGAATGGTTAACTGACAGATGACAGATAGATGGATGGATGGATGGATGGATGGATGGATATTCTAAAGGAAAGATCCACAGTGACACAGTGATTAGAATGTAGTACTGCAGGCTACTTCTGCTGCCTGCCAGCTGCCTGCAATTTGCTGGTTCAATTCTCACCAGGCTCAAAGTTGACTCATCCTTCCATCTTTCCAAAGTCAGTCAAATGAGGACTCAGACTGCTGGGGGCAATAGGCTGACTCTGTAAACCGCTCAGAGAGGTCTGTAAGCACTGTAAAGTGCTATATAAGTCTAATTGCTGTTGCTATCTGATGAATTGAGGTAGGAATGGTTGGTAAAACCTGTTCTGGCTCCCTTATGGATCTGCAGGTTAAAAGTAACCATTGAAACATTACTTTTAGACATCCTTTTAGATATACTTTTAGAATATCCGCAAATAAGCTCCTTTCTACCTTTGACAGTTAGATCCATTAAACTCTTTTCCAATGGTTACATGCTTGGTTATTTTTGCACAGTAGTAAAATGGTGTCAATGGGCACCAAAATATCAAGGGATACTTTTCTTGGTGTCCAGCAACCTCCCCTTCCTTCCCCCCCACCCCAGTTGGTATTATACATAATGGAATGATGTACAACAAAATGCCAGATTCTAGTTTCATATTTATTTCCAAAAACGAAGAATATTTCTGAAAAAGGTCCTAGGTATTGTTAGAAAATGATGAAGGATTAGCATCATTTGTTTGGAAACACTCCTAACTCACCAGAAAAAAAGACTAAGCAATGTTGGAATGCTGAGCGAGAAGTGCTACAAGGTCATCTCACCAGGGAGTCTCCTAGTAAATGGATGTTTTGTTACTACAAGGCCCACCAAGGTAGCCATTCACAAGTAGGCATGTCCCATTATGGCATCCATTCAGTGAAAGTGCTATGTTTCCAAATGCTGCTCATCTAGCAATTTTCACACTTAGCTTCTGCAGTATGCTATACAGAAAGGAGTCTTTGAAACCATTTCAAAAAAAATTCCGCTGATTCAGAATACTTCAGCCAGACTTTGAACAGGAATAGGCCAAATATGATTTGACCTGGCTACCATATTAGCTGAGGGTTGATGACGTTGACATTTTAAGGCTGAAGTTGCCAGAGTTGTAAAAGTGAGGTGAACGATTCTTTCCCCTCTGTTGTTTTGGAATAGAATACTTATCAACCAGAGCCAACAGTGCCTTCTCTTCCATTTTTTTCCAAGCCACAACCATTGAATGGAAACTTGCAGTTATCTTTGAGTAGGCCTAAAACATTTTCAGGGTTGGTTCTAGTACATGTAATCCTTGACTTACAACAGTTCATTTAGTGACTGTTTGAAGCAGTGGTGGGATTCAAAATTTTTTACTAACAGTTCGGTGGGCGTGGCTTGGTGGGCATGGTGGGGGAAGGATACTGTAAAATCTCCAGTCAGAGGTGGTATTTGCTGGTTCTCTGAACTACTCAAAATTTCCACTACCGGTTCTCCAGAACTGGTCAGAACCTGCTGAGTACCACTTCTGGTTTGAAGTTAAACAACACTGAAAAAAGTGACTTGGGACCATTTTTCACACTTATGACTGTTACAGCACAAAGTCAGACACTTGGCAACTGGTTCATATTTATGACGGTCGCAGTGTCTTGGGGTCATGTGATCACCTTTTGTGATCTTCTGACAATCAAAGTCAATGGGGAAGCTAGATTCACTTAACAACTGTTGCTAACTTAACAACTGCAGTGATTCACTTATCAACTGTGGCAACAAAGGTCGTAAAATGGCACAAAATTCACTTTACAAATTTCTCACTTAGCAACAGAAATGTTGGGCTCAATTGTGATTGAAGGTCGAGGACTACCTATATATAGAATTTACTCCCAGTCCAGTGAAATGCTACTTTATGTACCTCATAAAACATTTTTAACCATGTTTCCATCATTTCTATTTTTAATCTACCTACATTTTATCACTCAGTTCACAGTTGACTTATTTAGTTTTTAAGACATTTATTGGGTTTAATGTTGCACAGAAATTTGTTTAATTTTATTGTTGAATTACTGTGTGGCTTTATTTTGTTTAAGAAAAACCACAGCCTGCTCTTAATAGAAAGGCTGCAATACAATTTCCATATAAATAAATAAACCATTTGGCTGGGATCTACCAGCGCAAATCCAGTTGCTAGGATTTTAAAATTTATTTTGGAAAGGCCCAGGCAGAAAGTCAGTCATGAAAAATTGGCACTTCTATTCTTCTGACACAAGTCTTGTTAAATCAATGCCTTCCTACATTTCTGTGGGAAACAAACCTTGTCACACTTGCAATCAAGACAGATCAAAGAACAATATCTGGGAAAATTCACAGCACTCAAAAGGCCATTAAATTCATCTCTGGGGGACAATTCATGGGGAGGTGGCTTGTCTTATAAAGCTCAAAACAGCATTGGGGACTAAGGCACAACCTGCAGCATTCATTACCAAGCAATGAACTAACACAGCATCGAATTTTTTGACACCCCAACATTAGTTGCCAAAACCCAGGGGAACAGAGTCACAAGGGACTCCCTGGGACTGTTGGCAAACAATAATCCTTTGAATTTACTTGTAGGGTTTTGCAGTCACTCCCTGATTTTCTCTGCCATAATTATCAGGCAGGGAGGAAGGAAGTGGTGAGAGTCCATTTCCTCCCCAGGGCCAAACAATCCTGGAAAATTATGACTGTCGAGGGCTACCTAAGGTGCTATAAGGTTAGACACGGTACTCCATCCCGCCAATTCTTCATCCAAGATCTTTTCATAAATGCTTCTTGGTCTGCAATGCTTAGTGACTGATGTTCTAACTGTCTATTTAAAAATCACTGAGCTTTTCAAAATACCCTGCAAAAAAATAGAGTTTTGTTTCTATATATATAAAAATATAGATATAAATATAGATAGGCATTTGTTGAGAATTAAAAGCACCTCAGTTATTTTCATAGTTCCCAAATGTAATGTTCTCACAGTATTGTCTCATCCCTTTGCTCACGGCGCCTTGCTCCATCTGTTAGGCACACCAATTCCTCATTCTGTTCTCCATCATCCACAACTCCCCACTTTCCCCAAGCCTGATTTATAAAGAGGTGGCATCGTTGTTCAGCAAACCATTGGCAGCTGCATTGTCCTGGAATTTCATAGGAGCACCATCTTTGGCCATTTGCTTCCGGATAAGTTTGTAGCGGTAATAGAAGAGATAGCAGGGGAGCAGGAAGCCCATAAATGAGAAGATGAGGAGGGCAAGATTCACCTAAGAATAAAGAAAGGAGGATCATTTATCTAACATCATCTCCATGAATTATGTCCATTTATGATCAGTGATAGTAACTGGTACGAAATTGAATAGTTTTGTTTCTGGACTAGCTTCCTGAAAGAAGACTGCTATGACTACATCAAAGCCCTAATTTTGCATTAATATTCTTTAATTCAAAATGGGATCACATTCATTTATTTATTTTAGAGAATTATTTATCTACAATAGATAATTGCACTACATCAGGGGTGTCAAACTCACAGCGTCACGGCATTGTCACATGACATATCAGGACTTTTCCCCCCTTCGCTAAACCAGGTGTGGGCGTGGCCAGCACATGATGCATCCAGCCCATGGGCCGTGTGTTTGAGAGCCCTGCACTACATGCTCATATAAAACCATCCATCAATTGTTCTCCCTATCCTGCAACAACTTCCGAGAGAAAAAGTCAGATGACAAAGCCAGTCAGAGCAATTCTGTACCTTGTGGAGCTTATGTGACATCACCAATATCTCTCTTTTCCAAATCTGTAAAATGCTTTTTAAAAAGTTGCTGATATGGAGTGAGAATTGAAAATTAGACATAGGATGTATGTGGGTTTGGCTACAACAGCTTGGGGGGGGTAGGTAGGCAAGGGATACACTGATGTGCAAAGTACAGAATAAAAAAACTGAGAACCCAAACATGTTGTTAGCATGGGAAGACGCATTATCAGCTTGGCACTGAGCTTGCTAGAGTGTTTGTTAGTACATCTAAATAATGAAGTGGATTTCACACTGGATGTTAAAAAAACACACGCTCCTTCTTCAAGAAACCCCTATCTTCATTCAAATAGCTGAAACTCACCCAGAAGGGATCCCCGTGTAATGGCCCCACCATAGCCATGAAAAGTGGCTGTTGAAGGAGAGCAAATACGGCACTGATCAAAGACTGGAGTCCAGTCAATGTACCAAAGTGATTGGAAGGGTACCTGGTGATCAAACATAATATGAAGAAAATGACTCTCAAAAAGCCAGAGAGGCTATTGACAATCCTTAGCCCAACATCTACCCAGAAATATCCATTCTGAACAACCACAAGTTTCTATTTTGTTTAGAGAAATGGAAATCTATCCATTGTTCAGGGTTGGGGAGCCTGTGGTCCTCTAGAAACTGCTAAACTGCAGCCCAGTCAATATGTCTAATGACGGAGAACTCTGGGAACGATAGTTCAACAACCTCTAGAAGGCCACAGGTTCCCCACCCTGCTCAAAAACTGTCCAATTTATCAATATTATAAAGATTTAGAAGCCTCGATGGATTAAACGTGTATTTAGGTCTAAGAAAATGCTAATGGAAAATGTACGAAGAAGATAAACTGCCACTCTTGTTTAAAAACCATGAACAGTATTTAGACTCAGTAATTGGAAAAGAAATTTAAACAGATGCTTGCCTTCTATTTCATCCTCTTCCATTCTTAGGGAAGATTTGCTCCCTTGGGAAAAAAGACAATAAGCAAGGAAAAGAAAGCCAAATTCACAGAGCTTTCTTCTTCTTGGACTGCACTGCTCAGACTAGAAGGACTATCCCATTTTAACCAGACTATTCTACCAAACTAGGCCAATTCTCAAGGGCACCCATTCTCAAGTGCAAAAGATCCCACCCCCCCACCCCCCAGTGGCATAACTTACACAGCAGCATAGAGACCTCCACAGGCAGAATGGAAAAAGCCGCGCACCATGGTGTGAAGAATGAAGGTCACATACTGTAAGGAAAGAGACAAAGGAGGAAACCCACAGGAGTCATTAAATGGAAAACAAGCTAAGGAGCTGATGAGAGAAGGAAAACAGCACTGAGGCAACAGAAGAGCACTATCAAAGGAAGGAAAATCAGAGAGGAATGAAGAACACAATAGAAGTTACCTGCAGAGGAAGGTTGTTGATCAAGCAGGTGATACCAAACCCAACCAACAGAAGGTTGGTGGTGACAAAAGCTCGGATAGCATTGGTGAGCTTCTGGATCTTAAGGTAGCGGACTGTAGGTGGAATTCCTTTCCCCTCAGGACTAGGAAGATAAAGGAAAGTCATCATTGGTCCTTCTGTTAAGTGCCCCAGTATCTCTACCCTCAAGCATGGGTTGCATTCTACATTTGCTGTTTGACATTTGGAAATGATCAAAGTCTCACTTGATAGATCCAGCACGGTTTATATTGCCTGGTGCATCCACACAATCCTTTATGCGCCAGTCCATCACATAGCCAATGAAGGGACAAGTGAGAAGACATAACAATTGCATGACACCAAAGATGGAAGAGTAGACACTGACTGTCCAATAAAAAGAAAGGAGAGAGGGAATGAGAAAATAATCCAAAGAACCAGGAGAAATGTTCCCTCCCTAACCCAAAATAAATGATTTTGGAACCCCAAGGCACATTATTCTAAGCTCAGGGGGATGGGGAACAGGGAGGATAGGATAGATATAAAATCACATCATGACATAAATGAAACTTTCATTCAGAACAGCAGAAATTCTCTGCTCCAGCTTATTTACACACTTGGATCAACCTGCTGACCATCATTTTGTGTCTTGCACTTCCCATTCCATAACAGGAAGCTCCTGTCAACATTCACAGCGGTAGTGATGGTTCTGCTCTTTCCGCACTTTGATTTCACTAATGTGAAAAATCATCCCCTTGCATCTGCTCAATAATCAGGGAACACAAAAGGGGACAGTGCTTGAGCTCACAGCAATGGCTAGAATTTTTTTGAAGGACACGGGGAAGCTTTGAAAGGTTTGCTTCCCAGGAAATGGAAGATTTCACCTGAAAGCTTGGACAGAGAACTGAATGTAGAAGTCCTTTATCAGATTACATTACACATATACTTTGAGAGACCTATCTTAGCCCCAGGCAATTAAGGCTCCTGCCTGTTTTTTCGGCTTTATCCTCCAATTCTTTTGGCACTGGAATAAAAAAAGGAAAGAAAGAAAAAAGGCCACATCAGATTAAGCAGATTTTCTTTTCAGGACAGAACTTTCAACTAGAAGTTCACTAAGCAGGAAGAAATGTCCTTCCTCCCCATTGCTTCCTTTTTTTTCCTCCTGCATTGCTTCCAGACGCCCCCTTCCCATTGAGCTCACCTGGGTCCACGCCACCTGTCACCTGGAACTCCAGCATCTTGTTCATGGCTGCCATATAGAAGATGATGCGCAACTGGGTCATGCCCATTAGGATGAGGCTCCACAGAAAGATGGGAGAACAGACACTGTGGCAGAAGGGGATGGAGCCTGCATCCAGAAGGAAATACGCTGTGGTGATCAGAATGCTTTTCAGGCAAACAAATGAATATCCTTTCCATTTACGCTTTACTTACTAGGGAGGAATTGGATTGTGTCTCAGACAGGATTTGATTCCCTGTAAGGTGCTTTATGACTATATGGCCTCAGAGAAATGGTACGCAGTCCCAGCCAATCTATTTGGCATCAGACCAAGAAAGCTGGTCTAAACAATCCTTTCTTAGCACTCTGCTTTTCAACAAGGCAGTAAAGATTCACCTCAGGGTCAGAGATTATGATCTCTTAGGAAGAGACCTGGTGATTTCTGCTGGTCAGGTTATATAGGCAGTACTTCAGGAGGCTTTAACAGAAGGGCAGTGATGCTTAAAGCAGGGAGTCCTCACTGAACAACTCCCCTGTTTAGTGACCATTTGAGTCATAATGGCACAGAAAATGTAATTTTTTGACCGGTTCTTTGCACTTGTGACAACTGCAGCCTCCCTATGATCACGTGATTCACATGGGGCACTTCGTAACCAGAGAGCATTTGCAACCAATGGACTATCCCATGGTCACGTGATCACCCTCTGCACACTTCACAACCGACTTCTGACAGAGTCAATGGAGAAGCCAGCAGTAAAAACGTAGTTGGGATCACATGATGTTTTGCTTAATGACTGTGTCGCTTAGAGAAGAAATTGCTGGTTCCAACTGGGATTGTTAAGTCAGGCTGTCTACAAGCAGAGAGAATTTCTGTTTCACAGTGTTTATATCTTAACCAATTCAATAAATCTTTTCTGTTGTTTGTAAACCTGGATTGAATTCAAGCTCCACAAAAGGTACATAACTTCCCTGTTTACAAGTTTCTCTATTTCCCTGGCTGATCTTCTAACCTTCTAACTGCTACAGAAAGTAGCAGAACTGCTACAGAAAGTAGCAGAACTGCTACAGAAAGTGCTAGAAACCTAGAGAGAAAAGACTGTGTTCCTTTAAGAGAACAAGGCAGAGTTAATTCAACACCATTTTTTTGTTGGTTTGCTTGATGGCTTATTTGTATGGTCAAAATAACTGTAGTTGGACTAGTGATCCATATCATTCCTACTTCTATCCTGAATTTTGTTGTTTTCTTTCTCCACTCACCGCTGCCCAGGAGGAGGTGTTTCCCTCTAAAATTAGGACTGAAGCCAACAAGCAAAAATGCTGGCACTGTCTCCTGCCAACAGATGGAGCCAGATGCCAGGGCCTGTCCTCAGCTGTGGCAGCCACAGCTAACAACTCCTCCTAAGGCAACAGGCCCAAAGTTGGAGAGGGAAGGAACAGCTGGGAGGGAAGATACATCTTAGTGCCTAATCTACAAACTGCAGAAGTTCCCATTTCTTAGGAAGGCTGGTACCAGCCCGCAAACCCCCAGTAGCCTTTCCAGAAACAGCCTTGCAAGTCAGGCACATGACAAATCAACCTGCGAGCTTTGTGAAAAAGGCCCTTGCCCACATCCTCTCCCTGCCCAGCTTCTCTCACTGAACTGAGGGACGGCGAAGCAAGAGGAGGACTCACGCTGGGCAGATTTGGTGGGCCCTTGGCAGAGGTCCTGCACTGATGGGTAGAGTGCCTCTTTGCCCTTCTCCAGCTGCGGCTCCCTCTGGCTTAGCCGTTGCCCCACAGCCGTCACGTGCATGTAGAATCGGTCACCGGTCACCTTGTGATCTAGAGCTAGGCTGCTCAGTTTGATCTTCTTCCTGTTTTAGGGATAAAGGATCAAGGAGGAGAAAGAGGAGGAGAGATAGAGTCGGACACACACACTAAACAAAGCCCTTACATGAACTCTTCATGATTTTTATATATACAGTGACCATCTTTTTATTGGGAAAAATAGAGGACAAACCCAAAAACGGGGCAAATCTGAAAGGTCTGTAGAGGTTAAAAAATGTTTGTGTTTATAATTTTGCTTTACAAGGGAAAATTTAACAGCAAAACAGAGAATGTAAATAATTAAACAAATCTAAAACATTTCTGAAATAAAGGATTGTCATTTCTAATTAAGGACATAGGACCACTGTAGTTAAAAAGTAAAGTAAATGGATTTTGTCTTAAAACACTGCTTGATTAATACACTACAATGAGGCAAATCGTGGTGTACACATAATGTATGACTGTGTTCAGAAATGACCCTGGCAAGGTCACCTCATATTAGCTAAAACCAAGCCGAGCCTTTCTCTACTGCAACTGATAAAGGAGGGTTTTCCCTCCCTTAATTTCTGCTACTTGGCAGAAAACAGAGGTGAAGAAAGGACAAGAGAGCCTGAAGTACAATAGAACATGAACCAGGAGAGCCTGATGGGACCCAAGCCAAATACAAGCGGGTGCATTAGGGAGAACTTCAAGGCTTGTGGACTATTCCAAGGGAAAGCAAGCCTCTCTTCAAACTCTTGAGAGAAATGCCTTGGGGTTGAAAGGAAAAGCTGAGCCAAGACTGGCATCAACATCTGGCACCTTTAGGAACCTGCCAGGGATTGGATGAGCTGTACTATGCTTGTTTCAGGAAGAATGCCAGGTGTTTGGATAGGCCATCTTTTTCATCTCCCCCCTGAGTCTCTGACCCAGGGAAGGTTACAGAAGTAAGAATCACTTTGAAAGCCTCCCCAGCGTGCCAAGCTTTCTGTTCATCATCAACCAACCAGAATATAGTCAAGTAACAAGTAGCAAGCCAGTTTTCTGCAATACATGCTTAACAAAGATCAGAGGTGGGTATTCAGCAGGTTCTGACCAGTTCTGGAGAACCGGTAGGGGAAATTTTGAGTGGTTCGGAGAACCGGCAAATACCACCTCTGACTGGCCCCGCCCCATCTATTCTCTGGCTCCCGAGTCTCAGCTGATTGGCTGGGTCTTCTTTTGTGGCCCTGCACAGGAGAATGGAGCTGGAAAGCAGGTTAGTGGGGTGGGGAGGGAATGGGGATTTGACAGTATCCTTCCCCTGCCACACCCACCAAGCCACACCCACAGGACCGGTAGTTAAAAATGTTGAATCCCACCACTGACAAAGATGTACATTTTAGCAAAAGGTAGAAGAACTTCCCAAAATCAAGCCAACACAGGGCAGGGAAGCCATGCCGTCCGAAGACAGCCAAAGCAATTTAGAAGGAAACAAAGTCTGCGAAGGAAGCTCCACAGAACCTGATACATTTCTCTTTAATAAGATACTAAAGCAAATACTTAAGATACTTAAGATACTAAAGCAGAGAATGCTGACCCTGACAGGCAAGAAATTGCAAATCAGCCCAACTTCCATTTAGTGTAATGTACTGTAACTGATGTGCTCCTGAACTCCCAAAACTTCTAATGAACATGGCAGATAGGTATAAATTAAGGGTAATAAATACAGCACGTCTGATGGGGATAGATTGGTGCAGTCTCCACAATAAGGAAGGAGAAGAGCCACAATATAAATTCTTGAAAATCATCATTCTTGCACTCTGCTTATCAGGTGGTTTACCTGTAGAAAATAGGTATGGTTTTGATTGGTTAGAGCTACATTGCCATGCAATTCCTACTTACGTATAGTTGGCCTCTTCTGGAGCTGGGAAGGACTCCTTAGGCCAGTTGATCATGCAGTTGAGGAAGATGAGGCAAGCCAGGCCTGACCAGACAAGCATGATAACGATAAAGGAAACTCCGGCATCATAGATCAGCTAATAGCAATAGGACAAGAGGCAAAAAAAAAATGTGCGGAATGGTGAAAAAAAGCCACCAAGAAAGGATGGGATGGCTTTGGATATTCCAGTAAATAGACATAGAAGAGGCTGATGAATTCTCTAATATCTATATAGAAAGTAATTCCTGTGGGTTCTGTGCACACAGTTGAGAATGTGCATCCATCTCTTCACCTAACTTGGGAAGCAATGACAGATGTTGTCTATGGAGATTCTCAATCATCCAGGTTGTCCCAAAAGTGTTTTTCCAAAGAAAACTTCACTTTCTTGGTTTTTTTTTCCTTGAAAACATTTTGCTTCTCATCCTCAGAACTGAAGAAACTTCTTGGATGAGGGAAAAAATGTTTTCAAGGGGAAAAAGAAAACAAGGAAGTGCAGTTGCCTTTTGAAAAGCACCTTTGTAATGATAGATGGTATGTCAATCAGGCCTGCTTTTACTCTCCCTTCCTCTTCCCAGTAGTAGAATATCTTTTGCAGGTAGATCACACATCTGAGATTCCTCAAGTGTCTTTTTCTCAGCCTAATGGAGAACCAAGAGAGAAGCATGCAGACATACAACCCACAACTGCCTTTCACTCTCCAGATCAGGAATTTGGGGTTAGGATGTTCCTTGCTGCATCATCTGGTTCTACTACATACCTTAACTCCAGGAAAAGTAACAGCAGAAGAAGCATAAGAGCCAATCAAGAGGGCTATGAAAGTAGAACGCAAGTTTCCAAACATGTTGGGCAACTAAAGAGATACAAAAAGAAGCAACAATAAACAGAAATATACTTCCTAGTCTGGTCCTTTCAAATTACTCTCTTTTAGAGTCTTTTATTTTCTGTAGACTATAACAAGTATCTTCAGTACTAAAAAGCTGGATCATTCATTGTTTTCCATATTCTCAGCTAAATCATTCCCACTTCTCTGTCTAAATTCTAATTTCCCATCAAATCACATGCATTATCACTGCCTAACAATTTACAGTGCACAGCTTCACTTGTGTATTCAGAAGCCAAGACCCAATGAAGTAAGTAGCCTAGGATAGTAGCATTAACTAATACAATGTTTATTTTATTTTAAAATTATATACCACTTCCTTAAAAACCTCAAAGCATAAAAGCCAGCAATTAAAACAGTAATATATTGTTTAAAGCAGTGGGTCACCAACTGGTGGGCTTTGAGAAAATTTTGGTGGGCCGCAGAGAAATCTCACCCCCAGAGAACCCTCCCAAAGCAATTAATCCAGGCTGTGCAAAAACAGAAGGCTGCGCCGCCCACATGGCCTGCAGGAACGCTCCCCGCCCACTCACTCCTTACCTGGCAAACTTGCCTGCTAAAATTGCTATTTTTCCTTTTTCCGACCATCATCTGTTCTGCTGTGCCGGGAGATTTAGATTGGCTAGGAAGCAAGAAATGGTTGGATTTCTTGCTTTCTAGCTAGTCTTTAGATCTTCAGCTCTGTCTCCCTTGGGACTGAAGGTTTGCTTGCAAGTAAATTCAGTGCAGACTCACAGCAAGCAAATTTGAGAGACTGAGCTAGCTGATGGCAGATAGAGAGATCACTGAATGATCCTGTGAGCAATTCAATCTGCCTGCTTTGCCTGATTTTGGGTAAAAAAAAATTATTAAAAAAATAAATATTTACATACATAGTGTGTTGTGAGTTAATTTTGTGAGTTAGCTTGCAAGCAAATTTTATGTGTCAGATTGAGCTAGCCAATGGCAGATAGATTTCTGAATGAATCTGTGATTCTGTGAGCAACTCAATCTGCCTGCCTGCTTTGCCTGATTTTGGGTAAAAGTTGCTCTTTTTTAATAAAAAATTCAATATTTATATAAATATTTATAATATTTACATACAAGCCATGCCCATCCAGTCACACGACCACCAAGCCACACCCACAAATTAGGCCATGCCCACAGAACCGGTTAGTGGTCCCTGGGATCTAAAATTAGGAGTTTGGTGGTCCCTGAGGTCCAAAAAGTTGGCGACCCCTGGTTTAAAGCATATTATACATTAAAATATATACTTAGTATGGTAATATGGAGCCACGGTAGTACAGTGGTTAGAGTGCAGTACTTCTGCTGACTGCCGACTGCAATTTGGCAGTCCAAATCCCACCAGGCTCAAGGATGACTCAGCCTTCCATCCTTCCGAGGTGGGTAAAATGAGGGCCCAAATTGTTGGGGGCAATATGCTGACTTTTGTAAACCACTTAGAGAGGGCTGTAAAACAACTGTAAAGCAGTATATAAGTCTAAGTGCTATTGCTAATACACAGAATCTGTAACCAAATAAGGCTGCAATAAGAAGAACTAAAAATTACAGCAATGGCATTTTAATTATAAAACAACAATATATTTGCATGACATTGAGCTAATAATAGCTCACTTGGGAGACCTTTCCAAAGTCCCTTGAATATTTATTTATTTATTTATTTATTTATTTATTTGATTTGTCAATTGTTTACAAGATAATAAGTATAAGTGTATACATAGTTGTGAATACATGAGATGGGTACATATAAGAAAAATAAAAGAATAGAGAAACAATAGGACAGGGACGGTAGGCACGTTGGAAGAGGGATTCCTTCAGATACTATAGTCCCAAACTTACAAAAGGCTAAAACCAGCAATCTTGAAGTGGAAATAAATTGCATGACCATGGAGATCATAAAGAACTGGCATGATGTATTCATATTGCCCAATTCCTTTCAATACTCTTGCTATCAGAGTTCTGTGCTAATTGAAGCTGCTGAGACATCTTCAAGGGTAGCCTCACATCCAACAATAAATATTTAGAAATATTATTGTTTTGAAGCTACTATACATCTATCCAGTTAGGGCTGCGTAGCTACCATATCAACCTAAACTGATAAAGGAACTACATGCCATAAAGGCTTCCTGGGCCTCTACATTCAAGTATGGATCTGCAAATAACCCTTTGCTATGAACATGATTCTTTATGGCACATGCAAAACCATTCATAACAAACTCTGAGCACAAACATCACTAACAGCACACTGTCTTTTCTGAATTGAGCTTCAATCTGCTGCTCTTCACCATCCAGTCTATTACCAAATGACAACCCTGGTTCCATGCAGGTATTGACTGACATGGAGATACACTGGAACCCTTGAAGTCTCACAATGGTCAGTCAGAAGTCCTCCATTATCCTCTTTTGCAGTCAGCCATCTAAAATGAGTAGAACCACATCAAGGCTATTCTGCCTACAGTTAAGCTGTTTAGTGTCTCCAGGAAGATTCCATGGTTGATAATCAGCTGGTGAAAGAAGCTGGGGAATCAATAAAGCTTCACTCCTCCATCTTCTCCAGGCTGTGTCAAAACTCCTAGACCTAATTGAAGTGGATCTAGTAAATTGTTTTATCCATCAGCATCTGCAGCTGATCAGCTATTATCCTTGTCCAGGAAGGGAATGCTGGCTACTGGCCTAAAAATTATTTAGATCTTCTAGAGTTACTGATATTATTCCCAGAAATGGGCTCATTTCACCTTCCTTTAATGAGGTAGGATCACTTATGTAAGCAGGATTTATAACTTCCAGACCAAGCTGAGCATTTCATTCCTGTTGAACATTATAAGCCATAAGGGATAACAGGCAAACAGATGTGGAGTTGGCTGAATTGCTCAAACACTCAGCGTTAGCAGGCCCTAAAAATACAATATCCAAAGAAATATAATGAAAACCAAACCCCGAACACATCTACAAATTGGTCTGAAGCTTCAGAGTCTAAATTATGATTGTGATCAATAGTTAACATGACACAACTAGCCATCAACGATTATGATCTGTATTCAGCTGGATCCCAAATAACTCTCAACTATTCAGAAAAACTGGGCTGGATGACACTGGGAAGAGATGCAATGGTGGAAGAGAAACTGCTTTCTGCTTCCATCACTACCACAAAGTACATTTGATAATGAGCTCTTATGTTTGATCAGACACAGGATGTGTTTTTCCTCCACTTGTGAATTAGTCATCTCCTGACTTGCCCGCGTATGTATCAAGGGATTGAACAAGCTGTATGACATGGGAGAAAATGTTCAAGGGGCAATAACCAATCTCTATATTCCACAGGCAGCCAAATCATCAACAGAAACATGAACCACACTTGTTGAAAAATCTGAAACGTGTCAACCTCCTGGAAGTGGGGAGGAGGGGCAGACCACCCTGAACAGGTTATCCATCTCTGCAGAGAAGAATAGTCTCAATAAGAAGTAGTCTGAGCAAGGCAAGAGAGCAGATCAGGGGTGGGATGCTACCACTTCTGCCTGGCTCTATAGAACCGATAGCTCTGAAGAGCAGCAGACACTGAACCACTGTTTGCTGCTGTTTGGCCCACCCGCCCGCCTGGGCTCTTACCTGACCTTTATTTCCTGTTTTTTCAACCTCAGCTGCTTTGCGCGGCACAGCTGAGGTTGAAAAAGCAGTAAAAAAGAGGCTTTTCAAATGCTGTGCACCCACGCACAGTGATTTTAAGTTGTCCGGGCGGCACAGCTAAAGGTTGTTTTTTTTTACATGCGCACGCAGCAAAACGTAGTCAATGAGTAACACTGGTTGAATCCCACCCCTAGAGCAGATGTAAAGGAGATGTCACCATCCTTCTGCCCAGTAGAAATACTATGAAAAAACAAACCCAAATCCCTGAAGTCCAGCGCAGGCCAGGAAATCCAGAGATGCACATTAAAGTATCCCAGGATTCTTCAAAATTAAGCCCTAAACAATCTCCATCACTCAGATTGAGAGGCTGGAGGATTATGCAGGGGTGATATAATAGGTAGTCCTTGATTTATAATCATAATTGAGCCCAAATTTTCCATTGCTAAATAAGACAGTTAAGTGTCCCATTTAACGACTTTCCTTGCCACATTTGTTAAGTGAATCACTGCCGTTGCTAAGTTAATAACACGGCTGTTAAGTGAATCTGGCTTCCCCATTGACTTTGCTTGTCAGAAGGTCCCAAAAGCGGATCACAAGGTCCCGGGAACACTGCAACCCTCATAAATATGAACCAATTGCCAGCCATCCAAATTTCGATCTCGTGACCATGGGAATGCTGCAATGGTCATAAGTGTGAAAAAGGGTCATAAGTCGCTTTCTTCAGTGCTGTTGTAACGTTGAAAGGTCACTAAACAAATGGTTGCAAGTCAAGGACTACCTGTACTATCAGTTTTAAGCTCATTTCTTTTCCTCTAGAACAGCTCCAAGGAAGGCCTGTTGCCAAACATAACATTGGATTTGAGTAAACAGTGAAGCAGAGAATGGCTCCTTCCTTCTCCAGTTCCCGAATATATGCCTCTCCCCAAGGCAAAGGGAAAAGGTGTGGCACTTTATTTTGCCTGCTCACTGGCTGGTACTCCCCACCTGTGCCCTGAGGGTGTTTTTCTGCCTGTTCCAAAAGATGCATTGGTCTCCTAGTGAAGCAGGTATAATCCTTATATGTTTTCAGACAGCAGTGTCTTTCTTATGCATTCTGCAATGCCACAGAGCAGAGGGGCTTGGAAGAGCTGTTGGTCAGGTCACCTAGACAAGCAAACAGGGAAAGAGAACTTCCTGCCAAGATCATAATCCTTACTCTGTCAACCAGGGGTGGGATCCGACAGGGTTAACTACCGGTTCGATGATTTACGAGGTTTGGTGATTTACGATGTGCTTCCCTGCACACTGCATGCACCTGTAAATCATTATCAGCCTGGTGCCTGGACAGCTGAGCAGCACTGAGTGCCGAGAAGCAGCCTTTGAAAAAGTACTTTTTTCCTGCTTTTTTAACAAGCTGTGCCTCGCTCAGCAGCTGAAGTTGAAAAAGCAGCAAATAAAGGTCAGGTAAGAGCCCAGGCAGGCAGGTGGGCAAAAACATCAGCAGACATAGAACTAGTTCTATGTCTGCTGCTCTTCAGAGCTACCGGTTCTACAGAGGTGGACACAACCGGTAGAAACCCACACCTGCTTTCAACATGGGCTTTGCAGA